AGACGTAAATTTCTTTATCTTAAAAATCAAACAAATGCGATTGAATTCTTGCGCTTCTGCGCGAAATCCAGAGCTACCAGAATGCACAGCATGCATAATACGCAAAAAGATACAAAACCTGTGAATTAGCGTACTCCTCGTGACATTTACTGACATAAATCCTCGAGACATAAATTTCTATAGAAGCTTGCAGTCTACGAATGATATTGCGTTGGTATTAAAAAACAAAATTTCATTCCTAACTTTTACAGAAAATAATCTAAAAGATTCTGAATTTATTCGGTCGCAAGAGAGTCGGTGAATCTGTTAAAAATTCTAGGACAGAGTACACGTAGGATTAACGGCCTAGTTTCCAGGACGAAACGATGGCGAATCGTTGGTTTTGTCGGGCGCCACCGACAATTCTCTGCTCGCGACCAAGTGAAAGTAATAACAAGGTAATCATGTCGCTGAAAGTTGCTCGGAGGGTTAATGACGTCCTGGTTCGCGTACTGTATAAACTTTTAACAGCACGATTTTGGCGGTTCCGTGTCGTAATCGCTACGTGAATCGCTGCGCGGCCACGGTACGAACTTTCTGGCCGGGGCTGTGCCAACTTTTAATGGTTTTGGTTAACGCGTTGCACATCGATGGTCCGACAACCGTGTTGCACGCGTTCCATCCGCGTTGTCAGCAAATTTTCAGACAGATGTAGCTAAAACGTCAGTGAACAGCTTTTATCGTACTGACTCTAGTTGTGATACGCGTAATTAGCTTTCCGGGGCTGCACGTGAAAGCGAGTAAATCTTCTAACAATAAGAACGATAACGATCGAATCTTTTTATGTAAAAATGTTAACGACAGAAATTGATGTGATGTTTCTTCTCAGAGTGAGAAATATATTCTCGTACGTATAAAATATCGTAGCTTGAACATACGAAAATCAGTGACTATAACAGATGGATTATGGCGAAGCTTAGTAATTTATTATGTAACGTGGCACAAAAATTTCTTACTTTGCCAATTTATTTTTGTTATTTTATCTTATCTGCTTTAATCTTACCTGTCTATCATTGTATTATTCCGACTTATCAGTACATTTTTGCAACAGCGTCAAATTACACGTTTACTTTCTAGATCACAAACTACGAGCAAATGTTTCAACGAATCGTAACGTCTCTCTTCTCATCAATCGGTAGCTTTTACAAAAACGTATTTTAGTTCTTCGATACGAGAACATTTACCATCGCTCTTTATCGGTTCTCACATCTGAACCTTATAATCTCGCGATAACGTAGAACGTCAACACAACAGAGATACATCAAGCAAATTATTTTTCCGCGGTGCAACTTTTATTCAGACTAATCTCACAGATAATTTACATTTACTCCGCTTGTCGAGAGGTTTTATTTCGATTTGTTCGTCGCACCTAAATCGTCTTCTTCGTCTGTTGTGCAACTTCGTATTATGTTGTACAACGTTCAGCGTCTCCTACGAGGTTTTCGAAAAGGATTAGGAAAATCGAATGCACTCGTATTTCTATGGCGCCACGTGACCGAGTTTAGTACATCAGAACGCGCAGAATACAACGTTACATCAGATTTCGCATAATTCTCAGCACCGCATAATGATATGTTTTCTTACGTCACGGTTCCACAATTCGCCGTTTCGAAACATGGCTGTTATCGTTTGTGTTTTACGATCACGTAGGATTTTATTTTGGGATCGGCGATCGATCGTACAAAATTTCACGCTAAGAAAATGTTCTTTACATAAAAATTGTATTTCGCAAGTGTGATGTGCAGCCTCGACATAGTGTCGAACTAAGTGACGACACGTTTGACAGCATTTTGCAGACGTTTCGTCCGTCTCTCATTTTCCTAATTTAACCAGCTCGTTCTTCGATATCAAATTGAGAATACCCATTCGTGAAATTGCTATAAGAGACGAATTCAGAGGAGAACAGCGACGTAGAAACTTTTTTAACGATACGAGAAATTCTGTTTTACTTCTTGGATTCTTTTCTGCCGGTGTTAAAAAGTCTTCGAATTGATCTTAACCGAACTTTTTAAAGGAGAAAGTTCGCGTCCGATCCCTCAGGGTCTGCCGAGTAAAACTAAAGTTCGCACGCACATTTCGCAAGGGTAACTGGCGAGTGAAAATGGATGCAATTAAAAACTTGGCGCGATTGAAACTTTCGTCACGGATCTACCACGTCTTGCGTTACCACGTGTTCATCGGTAATCGTAACACCGACATTTCGTAATTACGATCCTCCTTAATAGATCCATCTTCGTTTATGCGAAAGAAACAAAGTACAAGACAGTCGTTAAAAGAGCGGGGTTGATCGACGAAGAGGAAACAGATGGTCAAATGAAACAGCCAACTACAAAGTAATAACTTCCTGAAGAAATGAATCATCTACATGAGGATCGATGATCGTCGAATTCTTTTGCACAAAATGCGACATAAACAAGAAAAGGAGCTGAATCGTCAAATGTACGAAATCGGATGAAAAAGTCAAACTCACATATCCATCAGAAAATAATACATTTCCAAAGAAAACGATGAAACGAACCTAAACGATCGACGTTCCTCGAAGCCAAAGAAACCTAAACAACGAAACAAACCGTAAAGGAGAAAGGGAAAGAGAGCCACAAATAATCGAGTCACGAGAGCGCCATGCGAATAAGAAGAAAAGAGGAAATCCCCGTGGAAAGGAGGGAGGAGGAAGGTGGTCGCGTGGGCGCCTTGAAAAAAAAAAAAACGGCGATGTTAAGGTAAAGAACTTCGGCGTGGCCGGTATCGATTTCGCGGTCAACCGAAGCAAGTCGCCCTGTGGCTGGTCTCCTGTACGTGTAAGTAATGCGGTGTCGGTGGCGAAGGAGAAAATCTTTGCGTGACCGGCTCGCTGGCCAGCAACGGCTCGGCGACCCTCTTTGCCTCGCCACCCTTCGTCCTCCGAGGTCCGTCCAACCCCCGAAGACTGCGGCACCTGCAATCTTCGTGCGACACACGAGCCGAACCGCGATGCTCGTTCGCCGGCTTGAACCTCGTACAGAACTCGCTGTAGAATTTCTTCACGCGTACTCGTGTTCCTTTCGTATCGATCCACGAACCTCGAGATCATCCTCCGTTGTTATCTTCGTTCCCGTCTCGCCGTGAATTCGCCGCGTTTCCGCTCGGTTATCGATCACCGCATCGCCCTGTTGTACTTTAGACGGTCCAACGAAGAACGAGTAGAACTACGAACAGAGCAGGTAAGATATTTCTCTTTCGCGTACGTTCAACCTTTTGGTGATTGGCGAAGGGATTCGCAGATACTCGAAACAGACAGGGTACAAGTGGTAAGACGCGAGAATTTGACACACGTTGTTCCATCGGTGATCGATGGGACTCCTCGCGCAATATCCTGTTGCGTAGATTTATTGGAAGTGTGAATTCGTGGACGAATGGCTTGGAAATCGATCGACGTTTGTATCGCTTTGTAGTGGAAATGGAGGAGGTTCGATTTCGAGGTTGATGCAGAGAGAGAGAGAGAGAGATGATTAATCGCGGAAGGTTCTGTGGAAAGACGTAGGCGAAATGGTAGTCAACGGATAGATAATTCATTAAATCGTACACACAGGATGTTTCTAATATTCTTTATGATGCCATTGACAGTCGTTGTTCTTTGATTCTTTTGTTTTCGGTCGATCGAATACAGTTTAGTTTTTGAGTGGTTGCAGAAATGTTATTGATAATTTCAGTTACTTTTGTGGCTCTTCGATTTTAAAAGTAGATTTCTCGAGAATAGATTTGCACGGAGGAAGAATCTTTACGTTAAAACGAATCGAATTTACGGAACGCTTCAATGTATGCGTGTCTCGTGCGCGGCGAACGTGTCTGACTAGCGCGGTATACATTCACTGGGAAACACTCGATGTCATCAGCACAGTGGAACACGCTCGCTCCAAATGTTGCCATTATAGGCTACAAATATAAATAATCAGACTGCGGACATTTCTGCATTTACAGGAAATCGAAGGGTGTACAAATATATGAAATATTCAAAGTAAATATTCGCTATAATATTTAGCGAGCAAATCTTTATTTAGGTTTGTCTACCGATATGAAATTGCATGAACATCCACGGATTGAACGGTATTATTAATAAATTCCTACGTCGTATAAAAAGAAGAAATGCAATTTTTCAGAGTGCTAGTAGAACATTGCATTCGCGTTAAATATTAACTGCCCTGGTATTAACTTAACGCTTACCAGATACTCAACCTTCCAATTCTAAAACCTACACGAGAAGAAGAAGCACAGTTTTTAAATATCATTTCAAACCATTTTAAATATCAACTAGCCTAATATCGACAAATCAATCAACTTCGGAAATCTTTCTCATCCCCAAACGCATAAAAAAAGAAGAACCAATATTTTCCACGGTGTTGATCTTATATTAGGTTGTCAGAAAAGTGTCTTTCTTTTACAGACCCGTCTTTTACAACGATGCATCTTTACGCAAACATGAAACCTAATCTGTCGAACGTTGTGATCTTTATTTTGATAGAACAAAATGGGATCACACGTAATTCGATAGAATAATATAAAACGGAAAATGTGCATCGATCGTTTCCTTATAAAACGAAAGAAACTTTTCGGACGACCTGATATAATACACCACGTTGCTCGCAATGTCGACAAATCGCACAAAGTGCAGCCAAAGTCAAAGGAAACGAAAGCCTACTAATTCGAAAATCAAACAGCATTCGATCCCTCGTTCACCAATTCCATCCTGCGGAATCAACTTCACCTCGACCTACATTCAGCCTCTCGCGAGTATCCTTGAGGAATACGACGGCTGCCAGGTGGAAAGTAGCGCCGGTCTCGTTCGTTTGATCGCGTCACGATCCATCGACGCCTGTCATTCTCTTCTTAATCGACGCCGAAGGCCCCTTTATCGCGCTGAATCGATCGAACAGCCGTTTTTAATAATGCTAACAGCACGGGGCGCGGCTGCCTTTCGATTACAGGGTACTGGCAGCGGCGAACGGCGTTGGCGAACGTGCCCCTGACAGGCTTCTTACGCGCTGGAAGAGGTCCCTGAGTCGTTGCTGCGAGTGTTGTCCAAGAATGAGGTGCTTGGCGTGTCGTACGGACCCCAAGGGCCTTACCTGGCCCGGAAACCACGCCAGGAGCACTACGTTGGTGAACAGGAACGAGCAACCCCTGGCAAGGGACAATGTGCCTGCTGGCTGCTGGCCTAAATTCAAGAACAGATGCAGGTACGAGAGTTATGGTCTGTTTTTTATCGTTTTGGATATTCTTCAGGGAGATTCTTTACATCAAATTGAATTGTAGAATGTATTAGAAGCAGAACTATCAGAGCGATCAAGACGATTGTTGAATTATTAAATTCAATTTGATTATCGGATTGTCAAATTGTGATATTTGTCTTGCTTGTATTAGATGCAAACGACTGAAGGAAATGAAATGTTGCTCAAAAAGATCGAGGGTGGCGCCGGCCGAGGCTACAGTCTGCTGTCCTCCGGAAAGAAGATTCGGCGCTATTTGCCGTCGTTTGTTCGGCAACTGCAAATGCAAGCGGAACGCTGATGCAGAACACGCAAGAAACATACGTGCCAAGCACAGTCTTACCAGCGTAGCACCGCCCCCGTTGTCGGAGGTAACGCACGAATGAAAAATAAAACAGCAGGGAGTAACCGGAAGATTTAAATTTAAAATTCAGAATTTTAATAAAAGATATTGGACTCCTAAGTATGAAATTTACAATTTTAATAAGAGATATTAAATTCTAAACTTGTACATTTTAATACGAGATATTAAATCCTTAAATTTTAAATTCTAATCGAAATTGAAATATCGATGTCGTCTGACAATTTTCTTTTCTTTTTATCCAACGGTAGGAACCAAAAGCTAAAATACCGGATGTCCTGGTAGAGCACAATTCCCTGATGCGTGGCGCTATTCCTTGTCTGCCAGTTCCTCTTGCTTGGTTTTGTCTCGTGTGGAACGTTCTACTGCCTGGCTCTGGTAAATAATATCTTACCGATTAAAAGAAAAAAAAAGAAAAAAGAAGAACAATAAAATTTCTAAATAAAACAATAAAATGGAAAAACGTTGTATTTCAGGCACGGTATGGAGTGGGATTTTCAATTTGTGCGCCGGGCAACCGAGATTCTCAGCTGTGGCTGGAGTGAAGTCGAGACTAGGCGCGTTCGTTGTGAACCTGATGGTCGGGGTGGGTCAATTATTCACCGTTTTATTCTGCCTAGTTGGGTGGGGCTGGAGCATTTGGTGGGGCGTCACTTTGGTCCGTTTAGCGAGTAAGTAATATTAACCATCGATCCAAAATCAACTGAATCGTTCCGTGGTAGATAAACCAAGGAATTTCGTGTTCTCTTAATGAGTCATAATTCAGTCGTGGAAAAAATATGATGTCCACGTTAAAAATGGATTTAACCTGGTTCTTTCCAAGAAGGAGCAACCACTTTCCGAGATAAGAGAAAATTAAACTTCTGTAATTTAAACATGTGACTCGGTTAAAGAACTCTATTTTCTCTCGTCGCTTCTCTTCCTCGTAACATTACCTATAATTGAACTTTAGAATAGAATAACTAGATTTGACAAGGTGCAGTTATATTTATTCTAGATAAATAAATGTTTTTGTTTTTGAAGGGAAGTACAAGAGGTTCAAGGCTTCCGAAGCAGCCAACAACGATCCGGAAGCGAGGGGTGGAGAACCAGCGGCTCTGCCCCCCGGTGTACCGAGTCATGTGTTGAGGGGGATGGAACGGGCGCGATAACCGAAGTCCTCGCCACAGATTCCGCGGCAACGTTTTTATATTTCGTCTTAGCGATTCTTCACTACGTGCCTTCCCGAAAGCTGCGAACAGAAAACGAAACTTTTTTTCGCTTGGTGGACTCGTACGCTAAGGATCCGTTTAAAACAAACGAGAAGAAAAAATAGAAAAGCGAAGAATTTTTTCCACGGTCCATAGATTATTGTACTTTTACGAAATCGTAAGAAATACATCGGACGACGCATGTAGCTTTGTTTCGCGGTAAATGAAATTCGAGGCAATTTTCTCGTCGAAAAATTAATTCGCGAAAGGAGAATAACATTGGTACAGAGACATAAAAATGGAAAAGAAAACACAGAGAAGAAATAAAAGACGACGTTACGTGGTTGTTCGCGATCGAGGAACGAAACGAAGTTCTCGGAAATTAATCGCTTTCAGTGAAAGCATACCTATTCGTGGCGTTCTTTCAAAATGTACTCGTTGCGTCGAACGGAAATTGCTTTTTATTTTCGCTCGTCCTTTCTTCCGTGCTCACAGCGGCGATACAGCGGTTTTAGTCTTTTCTTTTTTTCTTTTTCTCCATTTATTGTATTTTTATTCCGAAATGAGAACGTCGAACAAACGTTTCGCGGTAGAAATCAAAGAAGAAAAACAAAGCACGTGACCTTACTCTCTCTCTCTCTTTCTTTCTCTCTCTCTTTCTCTCCCTCTCTCTCAGCCTCGTTCAAAGGTATTTTTCTTTCCTACGTCGATGGAATAAATACGTTTTGAAAAAACGCACTTTATATTTTTACAAGCGCAACACATATTATATGTATACATACATTCATATATTCAACTATCCGACTTATTCAACTTACAACTAAAAATCCTTGTAAATATGAAAATATATTACTTACATCGGTTTTTAATCTAATCGCTGCTTCTGGAATTGTTCCCTCCTTTATATCCCTTAATCGCAGTGTAGAGAAGATTCTATGGTATTTTGTTTCTTTTTTTTTTATCATTTTTATCTATAGAAAATAGCATATGGTTTAGTACAATATCCGATTATTGTCGCAGTGAATTTTTCGTTCGAAGACTATACAAGCTTCTATCGATCATCTGGAAAGTTTATTTAAGAGTCACATTTAGCAAAAGCATCGAAGGAGTATGACGAGTCCTACGTAGCATAGTGACGATTTAAAACAGATTTCCTGTGTGTTGCGTTTCGTCTGAATAATCCGTTGCAGTGTCGTGTGTTGTGGTCTAGTCCTGTGTAGTATAACTTTTCAGACGTGTAATCGATATTGAAAACGCTCTAAACACTTGGTTCGATTATTTCAATTCCATGGTGTCCAATCGTTTCGAACTTCAACTTGAAAATTTTAGAAACGTTACGTTTCGGAACAGCAACTCTACATAAAGAAATTCAAAAAGTACGAATTTTAACTTCCAATATTCTCGACTGTCAACTTTCGAATTGCAAATCGTTTGTTTGGAAAATTTCGTTGCAGATTATCCGAAGGATGGAGATGTTTTATACTTTTTCTTCAAGGATCGTTCCATTAACATAAACTCAATAGGATATTTCCATACGAAACGACGCGCGCAAAGTGGATCTTCTGGTCGTAACACCACAGAATCGGACTGGTTCTTTCGAATATTAAACAATTTCCAATGGATAACCGTGCGTAATCACTGCATGCGACAATGTAAAACGTGGAAACGAGAACATCGGTGAATGTTCGGTGGTAGATTTTCGTGCGGCAGAAGAAAACAAGACACGTAACGGCCGACTGTTGAAAACGTGCGCATGCTTGCGGCCAAGATCTAGCGAGTAAACTACTAATAAAAGCTCGCGCGAATCGATCGCATGCACAAGCAGCTCTATTTCAAGCAGTCCTTATCAAGATCCCGTTATTTTCGCTTTATCGAAGGACTCAACCGGCCCAGTCTAGTTTCTTACAACGTTTTACGCGTTTCATCGTGATAGATACGCTCGCAGTTTGTCACCCTTAACGTGCAAATGTTTATCATGTTGATAGATGGTCGAATGGTCGAATCGACGTGACTTGGTGTGAAATCAGTTCAAGAAAAAAAAAAAAAAAAGAAGAAAAAAGAAGGAAAAATAAAGTGATCGTGTATCGTGTTAGGAGAATTTGATGGTTTTAACCAAACAATACGTATATTTGTATGGTATAATTTTTTAATAAGACCGTCTATGATAAACAGTGGATCGGTGTCGTTGGCTCGTGAATGACCTGTAACTGTTTGCGCTAGATTACTCGGTTTTAAAGTTCACTTCAGTCTAGTTTATACGCTATGTTTTACTAAAGATCATTAATGTCATTTATCGTGTAAAATATAGGATACGAATTGAAATCAGGTGCTCCAATTTCATTCGGATGATTCTAATTAGATAATTCAATTCAAATTTTTACGATCATTTATAACAATGTCAGTCGATGGTTAAACAAAGGATCAAATTTTAGATTACGTTTCCTCTTGATAATTTTAAACTCGATTCAAATGAAATACGTTTTCTGGAAGCAATTTCGAAAGTAATATTCGTAAGAAAGAAAGCATAATCGGATTAAAGAACATTTTTCTTTAAGCATTTGATGAATTTGTAATTTGTTTCGACCAACACCGTACACGGGAAGTCACACGCGATCGTATGGAAATTCGATGTAATTTGTGGCAACGTTTTAAGCAATAAAGTGTTCGGATTTGTCGTGTATTTCCACTGGGGAATCGCACGAGTCATCTTATCGTCGCGTTTGCGCAATGATATTACGTGAAAATTGAAACACAATGTTGTTTCCACGACTTTGCACCACTTTATACCCTCGCCTTGGGGAATTGTCAACGAAAAATAGAACAGTTGGAATTATGTGAGGCGCGTTGCATTGTATTCCTTTGTCTGCAAGCTGATGGTGATTATGTGACAAAGATAGCGTAATTCAGTGTTGAAATTCTCAAGCGAAAACGTCGAGAATTAATCTGTTTGGGTTTCATTCGGAAATATTTATTTTCTTGGCTCTTTTACGGATTAGTAAGGAATATCTTTGAAGGATTTTCACGTTTCCTCTTGTTGTCGTCTCATATGGGAAGTCGTGGGAATAAAATAGAACTAAAAGTTGTATTCGTAAATGACAGGTTAAATATTTATACTTGACGATGGAAAGTATTCGTTTGATGAAATCTCGTAACGAAACAATAACAATTGCATATTCGATTGTAACAAACGTACGATAAATTAAAAAAAAAATATTTACTCGTAAAATATATGACGATCGACGAATAGGAACGAATGGGAACGAAATTTTCTCGATAAATTCGTTGTTTTACATTTCGCTTGAAACGACATTTTCGTGCTAATTTAAACTTCCAAATTCAATTTCAACTAGGATACATAGTATATTATTTAAAGTTTTTACATTTAAAACTTAATATTATCTATTTCGACAATTGCTCGCGGAAATGATAAAACGTATCTACTAACCGCGAAGTACAACACGATTGAATCGGTCGTTTTGAAAACAAAATAAAAATCAAAAGTTCACCGATTACTCGCGTAACTATGTTTCTAAACAAATAACAATTCGCAAGTAATTCCTGTTCATTTTTTTAAATATAAATCTAGTACAAAGAAATAGGAACAAAACAGATTGTTTATCGAGTAGATCTCGGTGGAAAATCAGGTCGTTCTCGAAACGATCGATTCCATTCGTCAACCATAAAAAAGTAAACAATAACTTACAATAAACGAGGATCGAAAACAGAAATTAACAAACCATGGTCGTGAACCGGAGATGGCGATGGTTGACACACGGTATCATTTGCAAATCTCGGAGGGATTAAAATTATTGTATCTTTGAGTAGTAAAGGTATATATACATATATATATGTATATATATACACATATATGCATATAATATGCATGGTATATGGTGTGGGTGTCAATGAATCGAGTCGCTGACGCTGAATATATTGAGTAGTATATGTTTAATGATGTGACTCCATTAATATGTCAATATGCACAGGTAAATATTTCTTGTTATTATATAATAGAAGTGTTACAGTGTGTAATGTGATACGATAATAAATTTAATAGTAATCATATTATAATTAAGAACTTAAAATAACTCTAAAGGGTAAACTACATCACTATCGGCTAGCGACTATTTAGCGATAATAATAGCCTACCATGTCTTTTACTAGCGGCGCTCAGTGAGTGTGCTCTTTTCATTATTCTTTCTTTTTTTTTTTTCAACATACCTTTCATTCTTCTTTCTCTCTCTCCCTTTCTCTCCCACTCTCACATTCTTCCTCTCTCTCTCTTTCTCTCAACGTGTAATTATTATTCCTCTGTGCTCGATGTTCCTTTCGTACCTATGTTGTTCTCTCCCAAATATTCATTTCTTTTCTCTTTTTCTTTCATGTATTTCCTGTAACTCGTCGTTCGTTTCACTGCCTTTTTATCGTGTCCCTTGCAACCTGTCGCTTCTACAAACATCAACCGATTCATTCCAGCTGCTTTTCACGTCTCTGTCCACGTTTCCTCCGCCTTTTTTTCGCTCGCTCGCGAACGATATACCAGTCCGTATTCCCGGTTTTCCTCGTCGATTACTCTCCCGTATCGTTCGACCTAAAACCGTCCGATCGACGAATCTCTCGCGTACGATTGAAATAGAATGAACAGCGTACGCGAGAAATTCACCAACGAGTATCTATAATTTAGAATGATTTCCTTAAATAAGCGTTTCGTTCGAAACGCATCCTTTCAAACTTACATCCGACAAGAAGAACAGCAGAAGACAAACGTTAATGGGGGTGATTTCGACAGCGGATTGTGAAAAGCGGTCTTCGTGAACAGAGAGCTCGAAGCAGGCATCGAATTCTCGCGTGTATTTTTTTCTGTTTTCTTTTCTTTTCTTTTTTCTTTTTTTTTTTTGCCTGTTTCTCAATTATAGACACACGTGTACAAGCGTCCCACATATCTCTAGGACCGTGGTGTGTGAGCGTCGAATTCAGTGGATTGGTTGACGAGATGTTCGCATAAAGAAATGAATGAATGAGTCAGACTGTCGGTGATCT